CGGGGTTTCACCATGTTGACCAGGATGGTCTCGATCTCTTGACCTCGTGATCCACCCGCCTCGGCCTCCCAAAGTGCTGGGATTACAGGCTTGAGCCACCGCGCCTGGCCTGGAGTTGTTTCTTTAAGCCTAGTTTGCAAAGTGAGTTTCTCAGAGGCATGACTCTCGATCTTTCCACAGCCAGGTTCCCCTGGCTGACAGCTGCGCTGGACTCAAGGACTTTCTGGGGTTACAGGGCCCTCTGCAGAGTGTCGGTTTATATCACGTGGTCCGGAATTGTGTAATTTTAGGCTGCCTAGAAAGGTACAATATAACACAGCCACAAGCCCATGGCACAAGTCCATGGGGATCTAGAGGCGCAGGGGGGGCTCAGTGTGAAGAAGAACCATGTCTGTGTTTACTTGGCCAGAAGATGCACAGGATTCTGAAAAATACCAGGGTGAAAAATGGCAACAATTCTACTAACTTCAGCTTTTTTTTTTTTCCTGAGAGTCTTACTCTGAAGCCCAGACTGGAGTTCAGTGGTACAAACACAGCTGTGTATAGCCTTGACTTCCCGGGCTCAAGTGATCCTCCCAGCTCAGCCTCCCAAGTAGCTGAGACTACAGGCACATGCCACCATGCCCAGCCAATTCTTATTTTTTTTTGTAGAGATGGGGTCTTGCTATGTTGCCCAGGCTGATCTCTAACTCCTGGGCTCAAGCAATCCTTCCTCCTGCCTTGGCCTCAAAAAGTGCTGGGATTACAGGCGTGAGCCACTGCACTCAGCCTCAAAATATTTTTAGCATGTAGTTTGGTAGGATTGCCAGATAAAATACCGGACACCTAGTTAAATTTGAATTTCAAATGAACAGTGAATTGTTTGTTAGTATAAGTATATCCCAAACATTGTGTGAGACAGATAATGATAAAGTATCCATTTTAAGCTGAAATTCAGATTTCACTCGGCAGCCTGTATTGTATTTGCTAAATCTGGCAACTTTCACTTTGAGGGGGTCTGGCTTGCTGGACAGAGCTGGTGGTAGGCACTCCCCAGGCTGGAAGCTGCCCCACAAAAACCAGACCAGTCCAGAAAGGGTTTGGGGGTATGGTGGATGTGGGCTTCTGTTTCTCTCAGTCTCTTAGGGGCGGACAAAGAGCCTACTTCAAGCTTGTCAAGAAGCCAGTGGTGCAGCCTGTTGAGAAGCAGGAACCCAAGGACCCTCAGGCTTCCGAGGAACAGAACACAGAGGTGACAGGAAGCCCCAGGGCCTCCCAAGGCAGTGGCCAGGGGAGGCAGGAGAGCAGGAGAAATTCTTCCTGTGCCCGAATGGAGGCCTGAACCCCCCGTTGTCATACCCAGCCTCCAGCTGTCAGTGTCTAGGCCTGGCTCCTGGGCTCAGGGCTGAGGAACGGGTCCAGGGGAGTTCAGCAGTGGAGGGCCTCCTAGACAGCTCCCATTCACATCTCCTATCACACTTTCTCTACAGGATGGGGATACAGATGACAGGGCCCCTGAAAAGCAGGGAGATGGCAAGGATGGGGGCATGGGAGGACCCAGGCTCTTAGGTAAGCAGCCTCGTCCCTCCATCACCTTGTCACCTTCTCTGCAAAGCCACCTTCCTCAGAACAACTGGAACCTACCATCACATTCCTGTTTACACTCCTGAACACGTCTGAGCCCACCGAGCCCCAAGATCCTGAATCGTAAGGCTGCATGACAGAGAGTGTGTGTGTGAGTATGTGTGTGTGTGTGTGCACGTGCAGGTGCATGCAGGCATGTGAAAAACTGGGGAAGGCGGATGGTGCTTCTCCCAACCCCATACCCAGAAACGTTCAAACCTGGGCCAGGACTCAGCCTTGGGCTGTGCAGAGAGGAAGCCCAGAGAGGCCTGATGGGGCCTGGGCCTTCAGCTGGGTGCCCTCACACTGCCCACCCACCTCCGCCATCCCCTAGAGCCTCTGGCCTGACCTTCACTGCCCACTTGCTCCAGGGACTCAGAGACCCAGGAGTACTGTTTCCTAGATCAGGAAGACTGGGGCCCCCAGCGGACCACAAAGGAGATCAGGCATTTGCAGAATGACTGCATGAGGTGAGTTGGTCAGGCAATTGGGGGCAGGTAGGGTGACAGGGCTTTCCCCAGCCGAGGCAAGGCCTGGCTTTCAGGTAAGGGCCCACGTGCTTGGTGTGCGGGTATTCAGGAACCCCCATCTTTAATTGTCCAAGAACTTGAGTGGTTCAGTCTTGGGGAGGGGCTTGTTCCCTGAATGTCAGGGTCTGGAGCTGGGGTCTGCACAATCCCATGGCCGCTCACCCCTCTGGGGTAATGCCGGGATCAGAGCCCCACCTGTCAGCAGAGATGCTGGGTGGGGGTGGGGCATGGCAGAGGCTTCCAGGCCACGGACCTAAGTGACCAGCTCTCCCATTCATATACAGCTGACTTGGAGCACGTAGGCAGGGCTGGTTCCAGTGCTGACCCGGTCACTGGCCTGGAGCTATAGAGAATCCTGTTTCGACCCTGTCTACAGCCCAAAGGGGCGGCTAGCCCTATACCATCCACCCTTCCAAGGGGAGCCTCAGAGGGTTTCTAGCCCAGCTCTTTCTAGCAGCCTGTCCTGCTCTTGTAAAGGAAGACAAAAAGCATAATTAGTCTCTGTCTGGGTCCCCTGCTACCAATCACTCAGAATAATTCCCATCCCACCTGTGGTTTTGCCGGGACAGGAAGACTGGTGACCCTGGTCCTAGGTGGCTATAGGACCAGGTGGCTGATGCAGGAGGTTGGGGTGGTGCTGCCTGGAACAAGAGCCTGGGGGCTGAGGTGGAAGGGGTCTCTTTCTCAACCCAAGGCTTCGGGAGTCACTGAAAGCTACCCAAGCGCACAACCTGGCCCTGGGGGAGAAGCTGCAAAACCTGGTGAGCCCCTGAGCTGAGACCCCCTTTCTTTGTCTTGCCGCCTCCCTGCCTCCCAGCCCCCCAGCCCAGCTCTGCTAGAGGGGTCTCAGGTTGTCCTACAGGCTGGCTACCCACCTCGGGCCCTGCAACCCTTTGTCCAGCCCACCTTGTTGTATCAGAGCCTGAAGGAGGGAGCCCAGGCGATCCAGGAGGAGGCCCAGGCCATCCAGGATGAAGTGAAGGCCTTGCGGGAGGAAACCCAGGCCCTGCTGAAGGTGGCTCTGCTCAGGTGTGTGGGCAGCCGTGGGGCAGGGAGGGAGGAGGCGGCTGCCCCAGGCTGCTCACTCGAGCTGTCTCTGCCTGCAGTGACCCAAACCCTGAGAAGGCAGATCTCTTCATGTTGCCTGACCTGCCCCACGACCACAGGGACCAGGGTCAGGCCTGGCTGGACCCCAGGCCAGAGGTCGGACACCTCTTCGGGAGGCCCCTCCATCAGCCAGCTCCTCCCTAGATCCCGGCAATAAACTTGGAAGCTGAACTTCAGCTCCACCACCTGTCTGTGGGTCCTGGGCCTCAGATGGGGAGCAGGAGATCACCAAGTCGGCACTGAGCTCAGCCCCTCAGCCACCCTCTGACATTACTTCCACTCCCTCAGTTCACCCATCCTGGATCTACCCACTCCCCAACATGGCCCTGCCCTCCCCGCCACCCCTCACAGACGGTTCCAGGGCTGGTTTTTGTCAGCCTTGAGATGAGAGCTCAAGGGTGATGTTCCCTGCCCTCCATAAGCACTGGGGCGGGGCTGGAAAGGGGCCACAGCCGCTCCCCAGAGGATCCAGGCACTTTGCTCTAACTCCAAAGTGCAGAAGAATACTGGGGTGGGGGTGGGGGAGGGATGGGGGAAGGTAACCATCTGGTTACCTTGGAAAAGCCCCTTCCCCTTCGTAAGTCATGGGGTTGGGGGGAAGAGAGAGGTGGTGGCAACTCCTCAAGGGCCGGAATCCTACACCCCTTAGGCCTAGAGATACATATCAATTTTGAGTTTCACCCCCCACCCAGGAGCCCTCTGGCCCCAGGCCCCCTGGGAGCCCCCAACCCCTCTCCACCAATGGGGCTACAAAAAAGAAGAACACAGAAAACTGACACATACATAGTCAAGGGGAGAAAGGAATCTTTTTTTTTCCTTTTTTATTATTATTTTTTATTTTCCTTTTTGTTATTTTTTATTTTCCTCTTTTTTTCTTTAGTTTTTTTTTTTTTTTCTTTTGAATCATATTAAATGGAAAGGGAAGGAATCTTGATAGAAGATTGCTAAATTACATACAAAAGTGGTTAATATTCTATAGGGCATTTATTTTTTAAATCCCATAACCTGGGCTGAGCATAGTGGCTCACACCTGTAATCCTAGCATTTTGGGAGGCTAAGGTGGGCGGATCACCTGAAGTCAGGAGTTCAAGACCAGCATGCAACATAGCGAAACCTGGTCTCTATTAAAAATATAAAAAGTAGCCAGGTGTGGTGGCGTGGGCCTATAATCCCAGCTATTTGGGAGGCTGAGGCACGAGAATCACTTGAATCCAGGGGCGGAGGTTTCAGTGCACCAAGATGACACCACTGCACTCCGGCCTGGGTAACAAAGCAAGACTCGGTCTCCAAAAAAAAAATTAGGTGGGTGTAGTGGCAAATGCCTGTAATCCAGCTACTCAGGAGGCTGAGGCAGAAAAATCACTTGAATCCAGGAGGCGGAGGTTGTGGTGAGTGGAGATCACACCATTGCACGCCAGTCTGGGTGACAAGAGCAAAACTCTGTCTCAAAAAAAGGAGGCTGGGTGCGGTGGCTCACACCTGTAATTGCAGCACTTTGGGAGGCTGAGGCGGGTGGATCACGAGGTCAAGAGATCGAGACCATCCTGGCCAACATGGT